AAAATCTCATGCAGTGAAGAGTACTTGTTACTTGTAATTACTAAAGCCATTAACTTCGAAACAGTGAACAACATAATAAAGATTCTACAAGCTATGTTTGGAGAAAAATTCTTGACTAGCATCTCAGGAGTATTAACTCAAAGTTATTTATCACAATAGGCAAATGCCAATCAGAACTAAAAGAGCTGCTTATATAGGATGACCTGAATTTTAACTATTGATAGAGATAGCTCTTGAACATTCAATAATAGGGATTTTGTTTGTTTGTTTGTTTTCCTAATGAAATCTCATCGTAATGCCATTAGTCTGCTGTATTTATTCTACAGTCTTCAAAAATCTGAACATGAATTCCTTTCTGTTTCTCCTCTAAATTTAGTTTTACACTTCTTTCAAAGAAGAAATAATAGTGAGGAAGAATACGTGGTATCATCTCTAGTGTCTTTTCAGAATCTTTTATTACACAGTCTTAAAATTAAAGGTATTGGACTGACAGAAATGGCAGAATTGCTATGCTTACATTGCATTTATGCTGGTGTTTTTCTATCAGAACAAGACCAGCTATATTATTTGCATATGTTCTGATGTAAATACACCAATACTGTAAATCACAGTAACTGCAACAGAAAGTGCAATACACATAGAACATTTTTTTTTACAATTTTACCTAGCTTAACTATGGGGATACACAAACCCAGTCGCATGTAATTGCATTCAGTTACTTTTTTTGCTTTGACACTGCTCCAAAAACCTTTAAAACTAACTTGTTCCTGAGGGAAAAATGCTGTGTTAAATGAAGACAATGCAACATCTGCTTAAAAGAAAACAGTTGTTCTCAGATTGTTAGTATTGTTGTTTGAGGAAATTATCTGACTGAATGATCTAATCACTACGGTAAAAAAGCAGAAATAATGTTTATCCTTGCCTAATGCTTCCAAGACTAGATGAAAAGTATGTCCAGTAAAATTAAATGTTACTGCACAATTAATAATTCCCTTTGTATTTTGTACTATCCCAAGGCTGCCCATTTAGTTTGAAGTAGAGAAGGCTCAGGGGAGACCCTATTACTCTCTACAATTACCTGTAAGAAGGTTGTAGCAAGACGGAGGTCAGCCTCTTCTCTCAGGTAACAGCCATAAAGAGAGAGGGAAACCTCAAGTTGTGTCAGGGGAGATTCAGATCAGATAGTAGGAAAAAAAAAAAAATACAGAAAAAGCAGTGAGACATTTTGGAACAGGCTGCCCAGGAAAGTGGTAGAGTCCTTGAACACCTTCAGGGACAATGAAAGGGTAAATGATGTACTTAGGGACATGGTTTAGTGGGCAATACTGGTGATATGTGGACATTTGGACTAGATGATCTTATTAGGGTTTGAAAAGACCTCTAATTCTATGATTTAAACAGCTGCATATTTCCCAACTGAAAATTCTCTCACTTCTCATGATTTAGTACCATCAGTTCAGGGGATATTCACATGCAATATCTTGCTTAAATGATTGCCAGTACTTTTAAGGTTGAGACTAATTTCTTAACTATGCCTTACTTAAGAGATACCATTCATTTATGCACGACACATGAATACACAAGACCTAAATACTTCAGCTTTCTCCATATTATTCATTGCTCATTGTTTTTGCCTTGTTAAGAAAAAAAACAAACAAACAAAAAAACGGCTATTTTATCGCCTTCTTCCCCTTTCCTCTTCTGAATTTACTGAACCTTTCTTCCTGACCCTCTTTCCTACTACCTGCATCCTGGCTTTTCTGATTTTTAGAAGTTAGTCCTCTAAAGTGGCTTTTTTTGTTTTTTAAATAGTTTTTTGTTTGTTTGTTTGTTTGTTTTTCTTCAGAATCTCTTTTCAGCTTTCAGGTCCTTAGAGCCCCTTTTTTTGTCATTCCATTATATATTGCATACTATTCTGCCTTTAACACAAATGAGAGCCATTACATCAAATATAATTAGCCATTTCTTAATACAAGAGAAAGAAATTGCAGCAGCCACTGTTACAAAATTACCTTTCACCTTTGATTTTCAACCATTTCCCTCCAGCTACAAAAATGAGATCTAAATTACTTGCTCCCCTATATGCATTTTTCCTACCTCCCTGCCCCCTGCAAAAGAAGTTACCTTCATCACAACTCTCTACCAAGCACCTTTGATGCCTTTCTTCCCATTTTATCATTATTTACCTGTTAGGAACAAGCACCCATTATTTTTAAGATGAGGCTTTCAACTGTACTACTAGTTGGACCCAAAGAGCCCCAGTCACCTTCTGTTTCTGATACCATAGTTCGAGTATTCTCACACAGGGGCATTAAATTACATTGTTTCACGTCTTTCCCTAAGCTTCAGAAGACACATTCTTTATTTTTTTATTTTTAATGCAATACAATAACTTTTCCTCTATTTGTAACTAACTGAAGTTATACATCTCAGTTTCTTCTACCAAATCTCTGCGATATCGATTCATATTTGATGGTATGCCAGAAGTTCATCTTTTTTCTATTAAATTCTCTTCATGCACACACATCTAAGGCACATAACAATCTGCTTCATCATTCTCCTGCTTTACACTTCTAAGCATTTCTACAAAGCAGCTCACTTACAGACTTAAAGTCACAGTCCTTCTACAAAGTTATAATTGAAATCCCACATTTTTTCCAAGAGAGAAACCCAAGAACAGCGGGACAGTGTACAGCATGTCTACGCAAGTGTGCCTCCCATTGTAATCTAGAAATGAAAGCTGTCCAAATTAGATTTGGAGACAATATTTAAGTCTAGATAACTACACGTTAAGTCAAAGCCCTCATATTGATTCAGTAGACACTATTTAAGATGGGGATTATCTAAAACCAGTTTTGATCATAAATGTGCCTTTTATTTTACAGTCCTACACAGTTCAGACAAACTACTCCTTGCATGCGAGTCCGGACAGTTTCTTCATCAGCAAGCCCAGAATTGAGAACCAATTTCCAGATGTTCTTGAGAAAGTCTCCACCTGCAACTTCACTCTAAATAAGCCACCCAAAGACAAAAAAAAAACCTCTCTTCTCAGTATCATTGTTGCTTTCCATCATCTACTACACCAGAACACAGTTGTACCTCACACTTTTTGGATTTACTTTTATATATACTGTAGTCAAAAAAAGATTTATACCGTATGAATATATATATTAATGTTATAGTGCTCAGAGCTTTTCAGTTGTGGAAGATCCCAAATGGCTCCTAGTTCTATCACTCACTTTGTAAAATAGCATTTGTTTACTCAGATGGACTTCATATGTTTTAAATTTGTAGCACCAAATTCAGAACATGGTAATAGTGGGTGTTGTTTCCTATAAATAACTTTGGACAGAGCAGGAAGGAGATATCAAAAGTTGCTTAACATGGTCATGAAAGATGCTGGATATGAACTTCAATAGCAAAAAACATGGGAATTCTGTTGAGATTCTCAGAAAGATAATAAAAGAATTTTACCTTAACAACAATTTAAGATTGTAATGGTTAGTCATTAAAATTCCCCTGAACAAAGAGTTTTTCAGATTAAGAAAAAAAGAAATATTGCTCCTTATCATCATCAAGAAATAGTACCAATATTTTTTAAAAAGCTTGCAAAGACAATCATGGTCACAGTAGTAAAAAACATTTTGTAGAAGCATCAGCATTAAATTGACTTTTGAATTCATCTCTGAAACAATCAACCTCTCTTAAGAGCTAACAAGTACAAAATATTGTTATAAATGTTTTGGAAATACTACTCAACTGTTTATTTACTCTCTTAAAGTCTCAAACTGAAGTGCATCTTTTCCAGCCAACCACTTCTTGCTGGCAAGAAGAAGCAGTTGCAGATTCAGTTTTAGGGCTATTGTATTCCCAAGAAAGTCATGAAATGGCTCAAATGATCTAAGAGGCAGAGAAGGGTGATTGCTCAGCTTACCTTGTAGGTGAACACAGAAAAAAATAGGGTTTCTATTCTGAAAGATGTCATGAAAGCCAAAGAAAGTGGCTACACTCAGCACCATCACAAGATCTGGACTGAGTTTCCTTTTGGATTTTGCTAAAATTTGACATTATCCACTTCTCACAAACAGATTATGTGATACTGCACAAAGTTTCAATTGAAAATAATTCAATGTTGACGTACAAGATTCTCATATCTAGTTGAGAAGGTAAACAACCATCAGACAGCTACAAGATATTTTGACACATTAAAAGTCCCCTGCCCTTTCTTCTTGAGTGTAATAACAGTGGAAAAATATCTTGTACCCAAGGAATTTTCTTCTTTTCAGTTTCCTCTGAGGGAGGAGTAAACTAGAAACATCTATGTCCATATTATCTGCAAACAGTTCGCTGGATTAAAGTCACCTCTCCAAACAGAGAAATAGCTGTGCTTTGATTTCTTTTCTTAGTAAACAGTGCAGTAGTCCCAAATTACCATCATGTAAAATTGTCATGAGTCAGACACTGTAATGACATCTTAATGTTTTACTGGTTGTAAATAACATGCACGAGTGCTCCAATGACCAAATGGCTTTTATGTTGTGAACACTAGTTGTTTACTGATCTGAATAGTAGTAGTAGCCAATTATTTTGTTCCATTTTAAAATTTAAAGCCATATTTGTAATTATTGCACCTGTGTCATAAATCATTATGACCCTTAGCTTGAGAGCTGTAGGCATCTAACTTGTAAAGTCCAAGAATCATAAAGTCCAAAAAGAGTTATTATTATTTACAAATTTCACTTATGGAAAATGGAAAAACATCATGTTCTTTGCATATTTACTGTCTGCCACACAGTAATCTCTTAACAAGTAGTTTCCATCTGTGGAGAGAGGCCTGAAGTACCTTAAGCAAGGCATGACACATGGTTTTACCATGCTTGCCATGACTCTAAGGGATCTATATAAGCATAGATCAATGACTTTTCCCAAGAAGGTTCAGCTATATAAAGGTCTAACGTGCCACTCATCAACGTCAGCCCTTTTTAGAACTTAAAACTTACCTGATACAGCCAGCATTTTGGCCTCAAGTAGAGCTGGTAGTTGCGTCTCAATATCATTCACTTTCTTCCTTAAAATACTGCAGAGTTTCTGACTCGTGCAAACCTAGATTGAGGCAGACAGGCATGATATATAATTCATTCATGTACAAATATAAGGCAATTTAAATGGAGCTTCAAATGTTCTTGGTTTACAGACATGACATAACATCCTACAGCAAGGTAAAGAAACTTAATAAAAAGTGATGTCTTCACAGAAGTATCAAAGATGAATCAAAATTTCTAGGCTTACCACACATTCTGTTAAAAAGTAGAGAAGAGTAGTGACATTAGCTATCCATATAGGAGAGGACGTGCTTTACTATTAGGCACTGAGGCTGTATTTAGGAGATAGGCCAGCCAATGAACTCTGTACATTTTCAAAATTAGCAGTGATGCTTGGAATGAGTAGAATGTAAATAAGCCAATGTTTGGAGTTTAAGACCTCGTAACTCAGAATACACAATAATATTTAAACAGAACTTATTGCCACGTATCTTAATGAAAAAAAGAAAAAGTATTGCCTTTTCAGGAGGCAACTAACAGCTCAACATCTCATTTCACCACCAGGAGACACAGCTGAATTGGGCTCAGGTTTGACTATTCATAAAAAAGCAAACTGGGCATCTTTCAGCAGTGAATCATGGCTGGTATTAGAAATATGGAGAGAGAGAGAGAGAGAGAGAGAAAGAAAGATGAGAAGAAAGGTAGCTCAACTGTTTCTGTTCTTGAAGTGTACACTGTCACTTCAGAATGACTTCATACAATGTACACAAATAATACAACCACTACATATTCAGAAGTGTTGACTTTTACTCCATATTGCATCAACTGTGAAGAAAAGCAAAATGAACAAAAATCCCTCACCTAGTTAAGGCCAATACTCTTGTTCAGAAGGCAGAAATCAAGCAGTTGCTCAGAATTGTAGCTGACACTTGAGAAAACATTGCATTCATTGGAACCAAGGGTAAAGCAATAATCAAGAAAGAGACAGGGCAGTTGTGAAGAGATGAGATGTGAAAAGAAATCTCCAGAGGAATGTTTCCCTAATCTTCCTGATATTTTTTCCTCAAAGCATGCGTATATCCCATGCATATTAACAAAAGCACAGCTCATATTCTGCTTTTTAGGAGCCTTACAGCTCTCATGGCTTACCTGTTTGCATAATTGAAGGATAATAATTCAGATACAGCACTAATTGTATATCTTACTAAATAGTGAATACCCTCTTACTTTAGCTGAGATTATCTGTTAACTATGGATGGATCATGGGGTTTTTGAATGAACAGATCTATCATCCAACTCTGTAAACAATTCAGAATCTTCCTATTAATTTAAACATGTCACTTTTGCATTAATTATAATTTTTCAGTTTCCAGGTATTTCACTTTATTTCAGTATTTCCTTCTCAGTGAGCTGCCTACTGATTTACTTTAAATGTTACAATAACCCAAACCTGTCAGAGGTGAATAAATATGTCCACAGAACCCAAAGGCCATGTCTGTCTCACATATCCAAAATAAATCTTAAAGTTTTTAATGACTTCCTTCTAAGCAGTGTTCTCTCTTTAGGGGTACTGAATGGCTCAGTGAATTGCAATTAGATTGGGAATCTTTCAGCTCTAGGAAAACTGTATGAATACATCTCATGCTGGTAGTAACTTAAAGTCATTACCACTAAACAGACATTTGGCAATTATGCAAAATAAGCTGGGAGGAGGTTTAAACAGTTTCTAGTGAATACTGTGCACTTTGTAAGCATTACTGTCAGAATGAAGCTTGCTGGCACTTTTTATTAATGGACCAAATGCAGGGACCAAAGGCTGAAAGAAGGTTACTCTAACTCAGAGATAATTCTTCTGGAACACGAGATAAATACATTACTGAGCCTCTGCATGTATCTACATCACATGTATTCTGCAGATAAATGAAAAACATTAATCTTCAGAGCTATCATATGGCATAGTTCAACAAAATTAAACGAAAGACTGGGAGAGGCAAAATAATTTAACATCTTCTAAACTAATAGCCCTGCTTCTATTTTACATCAATTCTAATCTATGAGGTCCAATTCCTTTAATTTTTTCTGATTATTTTACCCTAACAGCAACTACCATTATTTGTTACAGCTGCTTTTTCAGCCTCTGAGGAAAATTTATTTCCTAACAATAATGATGAACGTTCACAAAGCTCACACCCTCCTTTGCTCCAGGTGAACATGCTATCATTGTGCTCCTATTCAAATAGCCAGTACTCATGTTTGAGGACCCAGCAATTGGACCAAAGAGCTCCAGTTACAAAAAACTTCCCTAAAACTAAATGGGAGCTTCGTTACAGCCTAATATTAAAGTATTTATCTTAAAAATCCTTAGTGTTGCTTGGTTGGTTGTTTTTAGTTTCTGTCGAGTTAAAAAAATGTTCCTTCTTTGGAATAAATCCTACAAATCTTTGTTTAGGTACATCAACAGCACTCCAGAAGACAGCTGTAATCAAAAATGTGGAATGCTGTTTAGCAAAGCTATGTGGACTCAATCTGAAAAGAAGCAAAATTTACCCATTGTTATTCTTTCCGTCTTGACAGTGTATGATGCTAATCTCAAGTGGCAGAAACAGGAACAAGGATACAGACCAAAACACTGAAATTAACTCTTCCTCTAACCATCTCAAAATAAAAAAGAAAAAGAATTTTGAGTAGCTTTCACATTTCTTTACGACAGTGCTTTAGAAAAGACATGGAAATTGTCTTTATGCCATGTGAAAAGATAGAGGAGTCCACCTGGATACCTTCACACAGCACAAACTTTACATTTGTAAAAGCCGATATTAATGTCTGCAGGAAGAATATAGATAAAGGAGATACAGATAAAGGACTCTGCCTTCCCTGACAGACTGATCTTAGCTTCTGCAACCCTAGCTGAAAACTGCACAGATGAGGGCAGAAAAGGCCACATAAACATATGTGGTACAGGGGGAAGTAAGAAGCCTTTCACAACGGGTAGATAACAGCAAGACGAGGGGAAATGGTTTTAAGTTGAGGAAGGGGAGATTCAGGTTGGATGTCTGGGGGAAATTCTTTACAGAGAGAGTTGTGAGGTACTGGAACAGGCTGCCCAGAGAAGTTGTGAATGCCCCGTCCCTGGAAGTGTTCTAACCAGACTGGATGGGGCCCTGGGCAGCCTGATCTATCATTAAATGAAGAGGTTGGTGGCCCTGCATGTGGCAGGGTGGTTGGAGTTTCATGATCCTTGAGGTCCCTTCGAATCCTGGCCATTCTGTGATTCTGTGAAAGTAATATTTTTCCCATAAAATGAAAAGGTTTAAAAAGAGCAGCTCTGTTAAGGTTGAGAAGAAATGAACAATTGAAATTAATAAGTGATTTGAAGGAGTCTGATTACCTGCTTCCTATTTACTGTTTTTAATAAATAGAAGCCATCATACAAGAATGGAATGAAATTAAAGTAATATTTTACCTACTGAATATTTAAAGAAACAAAATGGGTTGTGGAATTCTGCCATGTTCACTTTTCATTTGCTACCCAGTGTTTCAGTTCTTATTCAAAACTTCAGGTTCTATAGTTAAAAAAACCTTCAAAATGTATAGGCACACATTTTTAGGAGAAAAGACAAAATGCATAACATATATTTTAATTTGGGAATATCTTGACACACCAATTTGAGCTACCAAATCTCTCATTTCAGTGGATTGTCCATAGGTAAATTATAATCTTTTTCTTGACAGTTTTTTTGGAGTCATTTAAAAAAAAAGAGAGAGAGGAGTGGCATATTATATTGATCTATATTAATATTTCCCAAGAGATAGTCATATGTATGGAATAGAGGAGAAAAAAAAAAGTCAAAGCAGGAGAAGGGGAAGGAGAAGTATCCAGATGCAGTTGGTCGGTCTTTTTAACAGTGCATGCTAAAAGTGTTGGGAAAATTATTATGAAGAATAGAGTACAAAGGATAAATATTTCACTAATTTTTGAGAGATTAGAGAACTAACATGAGAAAAAAACGTATTTCAGAAAAATTAATGATTGAATAACAAATATTTTCCCCTTTCTGCTCCATATATTTCTATAAGAATTAGAAATAAATAAACCTTCCTAGAGCACTCGGAGCAAGGAAGCTATGGTGTGCAACGAGCCACTTTTGCAATAACAAGGAAAATACGGTAGTGTATTTCATGGAAAGAAGACCATGAGAAAAACAAAAACTCAAAAGAAAGTTGTAACATCTCCAATTAAAAACCAACATATGACAAATAATATTACATTCCTTTGCAGTTTTAAAAAGATTGCTAGTTTATTATTAGTGAAATAAAGGGGAAAGAGGAACTTTGTTTCTATTCTTCACACCAGCCAAACCTGACAGCTAGGAAGTAAGAGGCAAAAGCATGAAAACATTCATCTGTGAGTGGAGTTCACTTTCTTTCCATGAAGCACTAAGGAGTCTGTTCATAAATTGAGGCCAGCAACAAGACTGATCACTGGTAAACATAAGGCAAGAAACAATGGATGATTCCATCTGCTTCCTTAAGCATAATCTCTGTGGCCCGTCAAAATGTAATTATCTTTTTTTTAGGGTGTATATTTAAAAATATTTAAAAATAAAATCTGTTCAGAAGAAACACAACAAAACAAACTTTACAAAATATAGACAATTATAATGCAAGGTATTAGCTGATTCTCTAAATATTCTGAAGATAAACTGATAGCTGATGGGTACTTACTTTAGCAGTGGTTTCTTTAATGGACATGCTGAGCGATTGCTCTTTTTCCTGAAGGCTAGAAAGGATTAAAAAAAAATAAAGTTGACTTTTTCTGCTCATCGTGGTCTGCTACACAAGACACATTTTTATATGGAATGAAGTACATAGGCTTTAAGGTGACTCACAACAGTACAAGGAGCCAAAAACAAATAAAATCAGTAAATTTGGTTTCAACATTGTTAGTGGTTAACTGACATTTTTTCTACCCAACTTCTATCCATTAACTCCCTTAATTTGCAAAAAAATTTATAGCGTAGCTTACAGGTCTCCGTTAATGAGTTGTACAATAAACACATTTCACCATATAAAACACTATTATGACCACTTGTGTAATTGTTCTATGTGAAGTCAAAGCAGGGTCCAGAACCGGTGCCTTGCTAAGCTATCAAGAAAACACTTAACAAGAAATGCAATTCTAATACAGTTTGCAGTCAACTATCCTCTTAGAAGTCAGTTTGCCAGTGAAAATTCCAATGCAGTCATTTGTTCTCATGCTGATTTTATATAAAATATCACTATTCATCTTCCATTGTTTAAAAAAATCTGCAAAATATTTGTATCAAATTGATTTGAAATTCAGATTTTGAGACATAATCCACATCAGTGAAGACAAACTCAAGGTTTTCTTCCATATACAAAGTTTAACACTAGGATTTTGTTGGACATAAACATAACTTTGTGAATTTATTTAAAAGCACCAAGGGCAATAGATACATTTTTAACAAAGTTCAAAAATTAGGCCAATAAAACATCAGGAGTGAGTATAGACACTTTTTGCTACTGCAATAATTTCCTCCCTCCTATTTTGCAGGTGTACACTTTTGTACAATATTCAGTTATTGTCAGACACTATTTTCTTTTCCATAAGACAACTCAATTCAGCATACGCTTCTTCCCTTTAGCAGTATTTCAATTCCTCCTTTTAAATGCATTATAAAAATTGTCCTTCTTTACAGCCTAAGACTGATATTCTTCCTGAATAAAAAAACTTTCACCTATTTTTGAGCTTTTCTTTAATGTTCATCACTGAAGTACCCAAACATTTCAGAAAAAAAAATGATTGGATTTATTCCAGCAATACCCTTGCAAGATAAGGCACCTTTGTATTCATTTAACAGGTGAGAGAAACACAAAGGCACTGTTAATCAGAACAAGCATTAACACTGAGTGCTCACTTTGAGACACACATGAGCCCTGCCTGCTACCTACCTGCACGCGTTTCAATTTTTCTTTCTATAACTTATTGGTTCTTATTTCCTAAGCACAGCACTTATCGGGCTCAGCTTTAAAAACTAGCACTCATGACAGCCAAACTCCAGCATACACAAAGTTGGATTTCCATTCAGCTACCGAGCATCCACAGAGCCTGGCTGAAATACCCTGTCCTGCTTCACATGGAAAGCGAGATGGACACAGAGGCAGAATCCAGCTGCTCAATTATCATCTAATTGAATTAATGATGAAGCTGTTTGTATTGCTTTCCCTAACACTCTCCTTTGCAAAGCGGACACCTTGTCAGCCTGCAGAACAGCAAGGTCAAGCACCTCATTAACACCACAGCACACCAGGATCTTTCCAGCTCCACATGAAGCAGTCCCCTCAGAAACAGCTTATGACAACGTGAGCTATTGCCTGTGTAAAGTAACAAACAGAAATACACTGGCTACCTCCACAAATGTGAATTAACAACATTTCCCAAATAGCATTCTCAAATTTCTCCCTAAGCAGCCTCTTCTATAGCAATATATGGGCAAAATACAAAATATTACATGCAAAATTATGCCATTAGCAGCTTCTTGCCTGCCTCTGGGCACTCCGGGGGGAATAAACTCTTTCACCATTTCTCTTCTTAGACTGTGGAGTTCCCAGGGAGTTAGCATCTATACAGGTAGCATTGGAGCTGGACAGGTTATGTAAAAAGGAACCATGCCTCATGTACAGATGTCAGCTGGGAGCAGTAGGGCTGCAGTGTGTAATTGAATGAGTAATGGGTGACTGACCCAGTTGTTCTCAACCTGACTTATAAAATTCAGCTCCAAAGATCCAAGACATAATAAAAACATAAAGTGCAGTTATAGCCAGAAGAACTACAACACAAAACGGCACCTCTATTTAACAAACCTCTTCACTATGCATTTCCTTTAAGCTGTTTACTTTCCTCACAGAGAACCCCCCCAAGGTTTACACAATGTCTCAGCCTTCTGTAGAACTCACATAGCTAAGAGGAAACAAGATCAATTTTTTATTTCTTTTTAAACGAAACGTCTCAAACAGCATTACAAATTATGGCCTAGTTGTAGAACCCTTACTGAGTATTTGCAAACCCACATGGACTCTCAGGTCTAGCACTTGACTGGGGAAAGACACCTTTATCCTCTGATTTCATGATCACCTATTAAGTCAATGAAAAATAAATACAAATTACACACTGCTATTTCAGTGAGAGTAGAATTTTGAGAAAGTTTCACATTAATCTGAGCAACATCAGTAAAAAACAACAGCATCAATAAACCAGTTTTGACTCAAGATACTGATATGCATTGTTCACAAAATCTAAAGTTTTTTTTATTAAAGTTATAGCATTCATGCATACTCTCACAACCATCTTTTTTATTACTTACTATATGAAAATCACAGTAGTATCCTGCTTTGAATTTACTTGTTAGCCATCAGTGTGCTACTGTAGGAACTCCTTACCCCTTTAGAGATCAACTCATCATACTATTCACAAGCAATAAGCAGAACTGGGCAGGAATTAGCCAGAGTTTTTTGTTTTGGTTTTTTTTTTGTTGTTGTTTTGTTTTTGTTTTTACAGAAAACAGTGTTTTCATTTACCAGCAAGAATAGTTTATCACTAATCTTATTCCCAGGCTTTCCTCTTCTACCACCAAACACATCACGGAGAAGCCCCTCACAAGTTTCCAATTAACTGACAAGCTAATGCTCCAGCTGACCCGCAGCAGAAATCAAGCGGTCAATACCGATTCATTCCACCAACAAAGGGTTTTAACAGCCATGATCTGTTACACGTGACTTGAACCAGAAACAGTATTTTCTTTTACCAGCACCCTGGAGCATCATATTTCAGTTTAAAAGGGGTAGGCTGTCTGCTTAGAAGTTGCTTTACTTATGACTACTGGGGAAAACAGCATTAAAAAGAGCTCCTTGGAATAACACTTAATTCTCACCTGAGAAAACGGCCATAGTTTTGATTCATTGCTATTCTTCTCTGGTAGAACAGATAATCAAGAATTTGACTGCTTGTTCTCGCAGCCTCTGCAATCTATTATAAGAGCCATTTAGAAGTTACTTCTCAAATTCAATATAAGCTAACTACATCACAGAGAATGCAAAGTTCTTGACCTGACTGATGGAAGGACTAGAATAAGACAGGAATTCAATTAATACAAATTTAACTGACTAAATGCAAGAGAAGAAAGGTTTTTAACAGTCATAGAACTGATGGCAGTCTATATATCATCTGCTATTCTCCCTATGTGTCATATACAATAGCCGTATAAGCTATTTAAATTGTTTGCAATGGATTCACACACATTAGAATCCCTAATAAAGAGATTAAAAAAACAGCATAGACTTGCTACATCAAGGGGTCTCACTGTATACACATCAGACTAGGAAATCAGGAGCTAAGGAATTACACTTTTTGGATGGTGAAGCAAAACATAGACTTAAGATGAAGAATTTCACAAGGTTGTAGGAATGGTGTATATTCAGGATCTGAGGCTGGCATAGCACACAATTGTAGTCAATGGAAAAATTGTAAGGTCCAAACACTTCAAACAAACTAATGCCTTGTGAGGATCTCATTTCAGTGACCATAAAGGAATATAGGCATTGGGTGTGTTGAGTTGTAAGAACACAGCTGAAAACTGCTGAGATGATGTTCATAATCAGGAATGGCAAAAAAAAAATAGCAACAACCACTCAGCCCAGTCTGACAGAGAAGGAAGACTGGAAATCAAGAGGTCTGGTCATTCAATCAGAGATTTCCGATATGACCACAAAGGATGTTAAATGTCATTATAACAGTTCAAAATCTTTTTAAAGAATATTTTAAGAACCTGTGATTTATATGCAGGAACTGCAGATAGTGTGGAAGTAGCTTTGTTCAGAGGAAGGCTGAGTAGTACAATACTGGGAAGAATGGCTTTCTACTAAAGGAAGGTATGTTTCTGAATTTCTTTCCTTCCACTTTGCTAGTATACTTCCCTTCACATATGAGGTTATTGTGTATTTATGTTATATTTGGCTTCCTAAGAAAGAATTCAAAGAATGAAAATGGGCAAAGTCACGCTGATCTCTATGTTCAAAATACATAAACATACAGCTTAAACAGATACAGTTCCAGTATTAATGACAAAATACATATACATGGACAAAAAAAATGTAGTCAGAGTGTAGTCTGCATAAGTGCACAAAAGAAGTTATTACAAATGGGGTACAAGTATTAAGAAGTAAATTCTATACTGGAGATTTTTATTTTTATACAGAAAGTGAGGGAACATTTTTGTTCTAAGCCTGCAGAAACTGAAAGACAAAGGGTACTCTTTACAGCAAGCATTCTTCCTTACATTACTGTTACCTGAAAGATTTTTCTAAGTTCTGATATTTTACCTACTATCCCCATATCACATTATAATTCCTCAGCAAAAAGCACACTTTCATTTCTATAAATCTAAGTACAATCAGAATAATATCAAATTACTACATTCAAGTTACATGTATATGAGAAAGCACAATGGGCTGAATTTCACTTCATATGAATATGCATTCCCTTTCTCTTACATTTACTGATTATTAAACAACTTGCAGTATGTTTGAATTTGGCCTTTGATGCCTGATAATCAATCAATAACCCAATAAAACCTGCAGAAAGAATGACTTTTCTGATGTGAAGTTCCTAAGAGGACTCCTCCTCAGATTCTGAATTAACAAAAAGTTGTAGTTTCTTAGAAGATAAAAAATACACATTCCAAGTCTTACACTTGTAGTCTT